GGTGGTATTTGGGGTCACAGGTGGTATCTGGTGTCACAGGTGGTATTTGGGGTCACAGGTGGTATATTCGTATCAGATCCTTGACCAATAACTGTCGTGTCGTCAGCTCACAACACCATTCAAGAAATACAACCATAGTACACTACACGGCCGTCACGAAACACCTCCTTGCCATGTCGTAACCTCACAACATCGAATTTTTTTTTGTCGTGTCATAAACTCACAACAAAGGATGTGTATATCTCCAAGACCAGGCAGGTGAACACGAGACACCCTCACCTGCCTGCTAGTCCCTTGTCCAGTGTCCATTACACCTGTGATCTAATTAAGGTGAACCCGACCTCTCTCGTGGCCAGCAGTCTCAAAGGTTCGTATGCTAAATTTACACCCCTGACAAGAGAACGTATCTACCTGTTTCATCTCTGGTAAAAATGGATTCTCAAAAATTCGTAAGATTGACTTCAGAGCGCAAGAAAGTACTCAAAAGATTCACTTAAGACAAAACACATACATGGATTCTCAAACGATCTTATACTAGAGACAGACAAATACATCTACCTGTAATTTAAGATACGACTCCTTGACTACGACCAGGAAAGGGAGTCAAATTAGCACCGAGACTCTATCTTTCCTGGTGGAGAGGGGGCAGGTGAGGCCAGAACTACTGAAGAAGGAAGGTGGTATTTAAAACCCAACTCTCTTATAATTGTATCAGTAAGAGTATTATTGTCAGCTCACCCACGAGAAATAATGTCATTTAGGAGAGGCAGAGAAAGAGGAATAAAAGAGGTGAAGGAGGAAGAACTGAGAGGGGAAAGAGAGGGAAGAGGAGAGAGAGGAAAGGAATGAGAGGAGAGAGGATGAGGGGATGGACTGAAAAGGGAAGATAGAGTAGAGGAAAAGGGGACGAAATGAGAGGGGAAGAGAGGGGAGAGGAAAAGGGGAAGAACTGAGAGGGGAAGAGAGGGGAGAGTTGTTAGTGTGAAGCAGACCATATCCCCTCAAGAACCTAGCTGAGGGGTATCTCGTCCCAGACAGACAGACAGACGGATAGGAAAACAAACAGAAACGGACAGAAAGACGGGAGGGAAGGAAGGAAGGAAGGAAGGAAGGAAGGAAGGAAGGAAGGAAGGAAGGAAGGAAGGAAGGAAGGAAGGAAGGAGAGTGACTTCAGGTACCCCAAGTGCCGCTGGAGGCCGCCATCTCCGGAACGTGAGGTAGAGGCGATCCCTATAAGGCCAAGTACCTCTTAGTACGGTGAGGTCGTCAGAGGGAGGTCAGAGTGAGATGTACGGAAGTGTAAAGAGGCCAAATACCTCCGAGAATCGTGAGGTCAATCGCAAGCGGCCAAGATGGAAGAGGCTTTTGGAGTCCGGAACAAGAGGTACAGAAGACTCAAGAGGCCAAGTACCTCTACGGAAGGCCAAGAAGGAAGGTACAGAAGTGACGAGAGGCCGAGAGGTAAAGAGGTCGAGTGGAGGGGCGCGTTACGATCAAAGCTGAGGCTACTATGTGTGTTGGGAGAGAGAGAGAGAGAGTTGTGTTTACATGTATCAGAAGTCGTGAGAGTCTAGTGTGGATATAGGAAGGTGGTGTGTGTGTGTGTGTGTGTGTGTGTGTGTTTATTGTGTGTGTGTGTGTGTGTGTGTGTGTGTGTGTGTGTGTGTGTGTGTGTGTGCTGTTCTCTTGGTATATAAAGGCATTCCTGGTCCAAGCTATACTCACTGCCCACTAAGCTTATCAGGTCATCACTGGTCAGCTTACTTACTGCAGGTCTTTAAGCTTGTCAAGTAAATTCTCAGCTTATCACAAACTTAATACAAATACGCTCTCCTTAATCTACTTTAGAGGAGAATTTAACTAAAGCTTGAGTATTAGGTCAGGCTCAGATCAAATAAATACCCAGGAATTTGCATATCATCGACAGCTTACGTAAAGGACTGTGAACTGTTGTCGCTGAATAAATCATGATAATTAAGGTGTGTGTGTGTGTGTGTGTGTGTGTGTGTGCGCGAGGAAAGAGACGACCAACCTACAACCATTCCTGGACCACAACGACCCAAACTTTCCTCACCAAATAAAAAAAAAATAAAAAAAAGGAAATGACACTTGAGAATGTTGAGAACGCCATTTTATATGTCTCCTCTCTTTACTAGCCATTATTCCAGATGCAAATGAACTCGTAAACACGATTCTTACCGTCGAATAAAAATAAAATCGTGGTGTGAATTTCCAGTGGACTGAATCCTCACTTGAAGAAATAATATTGTCTCTGAGAATCTACACAAGACTTGATTTGGGCGGTAAACCTTTCATTATAGGTGAATCTTTCCTTGACTATTATGTTTTGTTTTGAAAATTTCTATGTCTTGGTCGTGAGAGAGAGACGGGGGATGGTAAACCTGTTACTATTACCTATTACCACGTATTGAAGCTGCTCAAGTCTGTTACAAATAAACAACAACAATAACAACAACAACAACAACAACAACAAAAACACCTCACCTCTCACCCACGCAAAAATCCTTACTAATTACATTCACACAAAAAAATACAAAATCACTTTAAATCATTTCACTCGGACACACACACACACACACACACACACACACACACACACACGTAAACACATAGAACAAGTGCAAAAGAGGGTATGCAAGATTATTCTCTTCCCTTCCTACTCCACATATCAAGAAGTGCTCAACATACTGACCCTCTCGGCTCTCACTGACCATCACCACGACCTCATCTGCAAATTTGGTTGGAAGCTTCTGCACCATCCTCGACACCGGCTCCTACTACCACCCGAGATCCCTCGACCGAAAATTGCGGTTCAACACCACAACCGCATCCAGCCCATACGAGCACTTAGTGATCGCTATAAGAACAGCCCAGTCCCAACCATTGTAAAAATTATCAATAACTTGTAATCAACCAGTGTATTCACTCCCAGTCAATGTTATTTTTTGCACTGTCACTATGTTGAAATGCCCTGTAGTTTGAGCTTCTCCCCATCTAGTTATTATATATCATATTTGTATCACTTATGTTACTTGTATATTATTTGTAAATCAAGAGACCCATTCCCCAATTATGTAACTGTATATTTTCAGCCTTCCGGCTGCAATGCTCTTTCAATAAACCGTAAATTATTATTATTATTACTATTATTGTTATTATTATTATTATTATTATTATTATTATTATAATTATTATTATTATTATTATTATTATTAGAATATTTTTTAGGTGTAACATTTTGGTGAACTGGCCTCTGGGTGATTGTATTAGGTGTGGGAGCTAGGGGGGCAGGGGAAGGAGGGTAAGGGGGGATAGTTAGGGTGTATCTAACCTGTGGGAGGATTTGCATACAACTTAATTAAAATTCATGTCTTTTTTAGGGGGCGTTGGCCTATTTCTGAAATAATTCTCGTTCATGCAGTGGAAAAAACAATAATAATAATAATAATAATAATAATAATAATAATAATAATAATAATAATAATAAAAAACACAACAACAGTAACAACAATCAAAACAACAACAACAACAACCACAACATCAACCAGCACAGACCAGATGTTTTCCTTGTCCGTATGTTAGTTGAGATCTGAAGTCAATATCGAACGGACTCAACACCAGGTACTGTCTCTGTTACAGGAGTGTCTCCGACAGCTGTTATAGGTGTGTCTCTGTCCAGGTGTTGTCCCTTACCACACACCTGTTCGCTTCACACCACCCAGCCACGACCGTCAGCAACACACACACACACACACACACACACACACACACACACACACACACACACACACACACACACACACACACACACACACACACACACACTTCAATACCTGAGTGTAAGTTAAAGGAATTTCCAGTGTTCATATATAAGTACTACCATAAGACAATCTCCTACAGAAAGACACACATTAATCCACCTGCTGCCGTTAAAGTGTGTTCGTACAGGTGTGAAATTAACTGATAGCAGAGGTGTGTAAACAAGGGAGTGTACCTACTGTAGGTGTAGTGGTGGGGGCAGCGAGGGTATATTGAACCATAAATTATTATCCTCAGGTATAATACACAGACCAACTCTCACACTCACACACACACACACACACACACACACACACACACACACACTTTAACAAGGATCCTCTCTGACTAACCACGGAGGAACAAATCAAGGTTCCCATCGTAATCTAAATATCTGGTCAAAATTCATAGTTCCCATATCTAATTCTGTCCGGTTAAAAGTCGTAGTTCCCACCGTATCTAAATCTGTCTGGTTAAGGTCGATTAAAGGAAAACTAAAACTAAAAATGTGAGGATCCTTGGCACAGTCGCTGGCAATTAATATGTAAATGAGTGTTGCAGGTAGTGACGATAAGAGCACCCGGCTGTCCTCCTGCTCGGGTCGCTGCAGGTGAGCTAGTGGCCTCCCGTGTTTACCTGTGCCTCATTAACCCAAGGTACACATTTGCTACAGGTCATAACGGGTCATTTCTACGGCCTAGTGATTGCCTTAGGTCATTTGATTGTGTTAGTGGTCACCCCAGGTCAATTCGATAGCATATTATACGGGGTCACTTTCACTATAGGTCAGCTTAGGTCAACCTCAGTGTTTGATTACCAGAGGCACACTTTAACTCGCGGGGGTCACGGGGGTCACTCGAGGTCAAACTTAATTACCCAAAATGGACTTGATTAGGGGATCACCTCTTGAAACGAACCAATAACAGATTAATTCAATAACGCCTTTGCTAACAGGTCATATCAGGTCAAACACACTTAACCTCGCCATATGAATACCTAACCTAACCTAACCAACCCAACCCAACCCAACTAAACCAAACCAAACCAATATATCAAGTGACCCCAGAGACATGAAGATCAACAACAACAAACCAGGGTAGGTCATTGTGTGTGTGTGTGTGTGTAATAAGGATGGTGAACTTTGACCTCTCAGATAAAAAGTAGTTAATTTAGAAACTTACTTAACGAGTCTTGTCCTCAGCCAAGCCACCTCACCTTATACCTGCAGGGGGAAAACAAGGAAAAAATAAATAAATACAAAAATAAATACTGACTTTGAGTTTTATTAAAGAACATTAGATTAAATGTTTGAGGGACTGAGAAAGATTGGGAAGTTGAGGGATTGGTTGAGAAAGATTAGGGAGTTGAGGGATTGATTGAGAAAGATTGGGGAGTTGAGGGATTGATTGAGAAAGATTAGGGAGTTGAGGGATTGATTGAGAAAGATTGGGGAGTTAAGGGATTGATTGAGAAAGATTGGGGAGTTGAGGGATTGATTGAGAAAGATTGGGGAGTTGAGGGATTGATTGAGAAAGATTGGGAGTTAAGGGATTGATTGAAAGATTGGGGAGTTAAGGATTGATTGAGAAAGATTGGGGAGTTGAAGGATTTTTTCAATTGTTAAATTTTTTATACAAATATTTTCTTGCTTTTAAAGTTTATATTTATCTTTCCTTACAGTCCCTTGTTGTTTCTTGATTATTCGTTCTCTTCCTCTCTCTTTCCTAACCTCACTCCTCTCCCTCCTCCCTCACTCACTCCCTCTCTCTCTCGCCTATTCCTCATCCCTTCTTTCTTCCCTCCTCCTTCACTTCCCTCTCACCTCTTCCTCCCTCCCTCCCTCCTCCTCCTCTCTCTCGCCTCTTCCACCATCCTTCTTTCTTCCCTCTCTACTTCCCTCTCACCTCTTCCTCCTCCTTCCTTCCCCCCCCTCTAACATTCTTACCTCCCCTCATTCTCTTCCCTCACCTAACCCCTTAAAGTAGGGAGGAAAGTGACCCACCCCCCTACAACGTGTCCTCTAACACTAATGTCAAAATGTTGAATTATTAACCACCTACATTATGCAAATTAGATGTTAATCTGCCAGGTCTGGCCATTAACTACGCATAATCCTGAGTGAAACTTTTGAACTATAAATTGTGTTTGTTATTATCTATATATCCTCGTCAGCTGAGGTTAGGTTAGGTTAGGTTAGGTTAGGTTGAACACACACACACACACACACACACACACACACACACACACACACACACACCTCTCCTACCCATTTCCTACCCCATTTCTTCCTCTCCACCTCCTCTCTCCTACCTTCCCCTACCCCTACTCTATCCTCCCCATTTCGCCCATCTCCTCAACCCCCCCCCCCCCACACACCAGGAGTAAAGTGGTGAAGGTGATTTAACCTCGACAAAGGCATCTGGAATCTGTCTATCTGTCTGTCTGTCTGTCTGTCTATCTGTCTGTCTGTCTGTCTGTCTGTCTGTCTGTCTGTCTGTCTGTCTCTCCACCATCCCCCAACCACACACCTCATCCTCAGGGCACCCCCACCCCATCCCCCAAAGAGTCTTTACCCTCCATGAACTTCACCTCAAGCCCTACCTCACCTCCAGTCCCTTCAAGCACTACCTCAAGCACCACCCCATCATCCCTCCAGTCCCACCTCCATGCACCACCCCAACTCCAGCCCCACCTCCAGCCCCACCTCACTCCATCCTACCCACCTCAGCACCACCCATTCAGCCACCTCCTCCCAGCCCAACCTCAGCACCACCCAACTCCAGCCCCACCTCACTCCAGCCACCTCACTCCAGCCCCACCTCACTCCAGCCTACCCCACCTCCAGCCACCTCACCTCCGGCCCCACCTCAAGCACCACCCACCTCTAGCCCCACCTCCAAGCATCACCTCCAGCCACCTCCAAGCACCACCCCACCTCTAGCCCCACCCACCTCAAGCACCATCCCACCTCACCTCCGCCCCACCTCAACACCACCCCACCTCCATCCCAACTCCAGCCCTACCTCACCTCCAGCCCTACCCAACTCAAGCCCCACCTCAAGCACCCAAACTCCAGTCCCACCTGCTCAGCCGCCAAGCACCACCCTCCAGCCCACCCACCTCCAGCCCCACCTCCAGCACCACCCAAACTCCAGTCCCACCTCCTCCAGCCGCACCTCAAGCACCACCACCCCTCCACCACCCACTCCAGCCCCCTCCAGCACCCACCTCCTCAGCCCCACCTCCAAGCACCACCTCACTCCAGCCCCACCTCAGCACCACCTCACTCCACACCCTCCCTCCAGCCCCCCTCAAGCACCACCTCTCCCAGCCGCACCTCAGCCATCACCTCCTCCAGCCCACCTCAAGCACCACCTCACTCCAGCCGCCTCAATCATCACCTCCTCCACCCACCTCAAGCACCACCTCCCTCCAGCCGCACCTCAATCATCACCTCACTCCCACCCCACCTCAAGCACCACCTCCTCCAGCCGCACCAATCATCACCTCCTCAGCCCACCTCGCCAACGATGGAGACAGACTGAACGGATTCGTCCTTGTCTAGATTGACCACGTCATTAATCCACGGAGTCGTTTGGGGAGTGGCGATGAAGGAGAGAGGAGAGGAGAGGGAAGAGAGAGTGACGGTGAAAGAGGTGGTGAGGAAGAAGAGGAGAGAGAGGGAGGAGAGGATAGAGGAAGAGGGGTGACGGTGAAAGAGGTGGTGAGAGAGGAAGGAGAGGAGGAGGGGGTGACAGTGAAAGTGGTGAGAGAAGAGAGGAGGGAGGGAAGAGAATATTAAGAGTAGGGAGATAGACAATAAAGATGCATCAACACAGAAGGTAGAGGTCAACAGGTCAGCACAGGTCATTAGGGTCCAACAAGGTCAGCCTACACCAGATACTTCCTACTAATTAGCGGTAATCAGGGTGTGACGTCACCAGGTAGGTCACATCCCCCCACCCCTCACCGTAGCGTAGCCTGAGGGACTCTCTCTCTCTCTCTCTCTCTCTCTCTCTCTCTCTCTCTCCTCTCCTCTTACTTTCTGTTCTCTTCTTCTTTTCTTCTCCTTCCTTTCTAATTCTTCTTCCACCTCTCCTTACCCACCTCCCTCCCCCTCTCCCTCCCCCCCACCACCCCCTCTCCCCCCAAACTCTTCCCCCTCCACAGCACTCCACCAAAACTCAATTATAACTGGAGGTGGGTGGAGGGAAGGAGTCGTCAGCCTTATAGTGTTTGGACAAGAATAGACGACCTCAGTTGCCTGTGACGACCTCAGGTGTACAATGACGACCTCAGGTGCAATAGACGACCTCAGGAGTACAATAGACGACCTCGGGTGTACAATAGACGACCTCAGGTGTACAATAGACGACCTCAGGAGTACAATAGACGACCTCAGGTGTACAATAGACGACCTCAGGAGTACAATAGACGACCTCGTGTATAATAGACGACCTCGGGATTACAATAGACGATCAGGATTTACAATAGACGACCAGGTGTACAATAGACGACCTCAGGTGTACAATAGACGACCTCAGGGAGTACAATAGACGACCTCAGGTGTACAATAAGAGCCTCAGGTGTACAATAGACGACCTCAGGTGTACAATAGACGACCTCAAGAATTACAATAGACGACCTCGGGTGTACAATAGGCCTCAGGTGTACAATAGACGACCTCAGGGTACAATAGACGACCTCAGGTGTACAATAGACGACCTCAGGAGTACAATAGACGACCTCAGGTGCTAGAAACGACTACCTCCGGTGTACAATAGACGACCTCCGGAGGTACAATAGACGACCTCGGGTGCTAGACGACCTCCAGGTGTACAATAGACGACCTCGAGTGTGCAATAGACGACCTCAGGTGTACAATAGACGACCTCAGTTGTGCAAATAGACGACCTCCGGTGTACAATAGACGACCTCAGTGTACAATAGACGACCTCCGAGTGTACAATAGACGACCTCAGAAGTACAATAGACGACACTCGGGTGTACAATAGACGACCTCAGGTGTACAATAGACGACTCGCAGAAGGAATAAGAGGAAACGATGATGATAAGAAGAAGAAGAAGAAGAAGAAGAAAGAAGAAGAAGAAAGAAGACGAAGATGATGATAATAATAATAATACAAAAAAAAATAACAATAATAGTTCTGAGAGAGATAAGATAGAGAGAGAGATAGATAGAGAGAGAGAGAGATAAATACTCAAAGTTAGAAACACAGAGACAGCTATTTAGTCAGCCAGACACAGCCAAACACACAGCCAGACACACAGCCAAACACACGCAAACACACAGCCAAACACAGCCAGACACAGCCAAACACACAGCCAGACAACAGCCAAACACACAGCCAGACAGACAGCCAAACACACACAGACAGACAGCCAAACACACAGCCAGACAGACAGCCAAACACACAGCAGACAGACAGCCAAACACACAGCCAGACAGACAGCCAAACACACAGCCAAACAGACAGCCAAATATAAAATTGCAGTCGGTACTGATAACGATCTACCTGTGTAATCAACGTTACTATGACAACCGTATCTACCTGTTTGAAAGTCTACGGTCCCTACATAACACATTTGACTTAGTTTAATCGTTACCACCTGATTTTCTTGGAGTATATATGTATGTATGTATATATGTATGTATGTATGTATATATATGTATGTATGTATATGTATGTATATTATATCCTACATACACCCACATTAAATAAATCGCACACACACACACACACACACACACACACACACACACTCTAGGAACAAGGTGTGGAGGGGTGAGGTGGGTGTGTGGGTGCTCGAACAGGTGTACTCAAGGCCAGTTGGAGGTGAGAGTCTACCTGTTAACCACCTCCATTTATTAAGGGTTTTTTCTACCTTTATATTATTGTTTTATAGAATTATTATTTTTTATCGACTTGTGATTTTTTTATCATATTTTGTATTGTTTTTCACTTTTATTATTTGTTTTATTTATACGATTTTTCCTTTTTTAGGATATGTTTTTATATTTTGGTTTATTTTTTCTTTCTATTTAATTTGTGTGTAACTTGTCTTTCAATTCAGCGCATTCTACCCTGTCTACTAATTAAAATAAATCCCGTTAAAATGATACTGACACTCTACCTACGGACATACAGTACATATAGATCAGAGAAAAATATTTAACGAACAAATATTTCAGAATCTAAG